AGAATGAATGTTATTAGGAAGAGAGTATTCAAACAGTTTGATAGCTAAAAAAAGACTGAAATGCCTACAGAAATAACCTGGAGAAAGCTTAAATTTCTATATAAAAATAGAAATTGCAGGTCTTCTCATCCACCAAGAAACAAATGGCTGCAATGTTAAAGCCATTATTTCTGGGCGTGCAGCATGAGGGACTTAGATCAATTATTCTGCAGAAGAAATAAAGTCATCATGGACAAGTGTATAACTCGTCCTATAAAAAAGTTATAAGCATAACAGCATCCTGATTAGTCAATCTAGATCTCCAAAAATAAGGTAAGATTTACCATTATGTCACCTGAGAATCATTCACTTCAGAAGGATCCAATACAGACAAAACAACCGTCTTGTGCTCTGTTTCTCTTACATAAACAGGGACAGAATCTATGGGCGTGAAAATTCTCAAGTATGCCTCAGTGTAAGATCAACTAAACCTAAAAAATTAAGTTTTAATCATACTTTTTTAATATTACTATTCGAACTTCTGAGTTGATCAAATCATCACCCAATAATTTAGGGTTGGCATTACAAATCTCATTTTTTATTCATTTTTATTGAGTGTTGTCTGAGATATTAAACATATTTTTGGCAAATCATTTTGAAAAACAACTATCCATGTATCCTTAGTTAACATTTTTCTTCCTAATTTTGACACTTATTTTATCAACTCGTCTAACGAGCACATTTTGTGCCATTATTGTGCATATCCAAACTACTTAAGTCTATTCTTAGTCACCTAATTTTAAAAGATGTCACTCTAATATTTCCTCCAATATAATCATTCATTAATTTATCCTTCCTAATTTTGCACATCCATCTTAAAACTCCTATTTCCATCAGCTCAACTTATAAATCAATGATTTTTTACAATCTAAAATTCAAATCAATACAACATCGCCAACCTAATTGCAATTTTATCAAATTTACCTTTAAATCTTCTAATGTTCTCTTATAAAACAACTTTTGAGGTACTTCTTTGTTTTAATCATTCAACTTTATTTTAGAATTTATATCATTATTTATATCATAATTGCTCTATATAACATATCTACTTGAACCTATCACATCAAGTTATCACGTCATCATCTAATATATCTTAATTGTTTTGTTTGCCTCTTTCAAAAATCCGAGGCAAGAGATGTTGTTCTTCGTGGTGCTCATAGATAGTGATGGAGAACATCCTGGGATGAATAAGTGATGTAATTAAATATTTATGTACTCTTTTATATTTGGGTTGATAATGTTTTGTTATTTTATTTTGGTTACCCTATGATGGAAGGCAACTAATGATCATGCTAGGTTGATGCTCTTAGGTTTGTCTCTCCCTTTCCGTCACTTTGATGCTTCAGTTTTCCCCCCTTGGTGCTTCGGTTTCCCCCCTCCTTGGCAGTTGTGTTGTTGCTTCGTTCCCCCCCATTAATGCTTCGGTTTCTCCCTCCTTGTCAATTGTGTTGTTGCTTCGCCCCCCCCCCCCCCCCCCCCCTCTTTACTCCCCCCCCCCCCCTCCCTTTATGCTATGTGGATGCTTCATTTTTCTCCTTTGGCAGTTGTCCCTTCGGTCCCTGTTTGCTGTATTTTTGATGAGTTTTTGTTGGCTAGATATGTGGTGTTTTACCTACATGCATTTATTACTCTTTCCCCCATCTCTTCCCTATAAATAGGGGTTGTTTTCCCACTGGTTTTGGACAATTTTGGTGAAAATTTTGCATACAAACCTACGGGTTTTTCTAGCTTGCGAGCTAGCCTCATTTTCCCTTCCCCTCTATTACTTCATCTCGGTCTTCTACCTCTTCTTCTCTATCCACAATTCCCGCCCCATCTGTATCCTTCTTCTCTTGTAAGCTTGGTGGTGTCTGCTGCCACGTTTTGGTTGGTATTTGTCGGAGGAGTGTGGACTTGTGCCAGATCGTTTCAGTAGTGGATTCCGGGTTAGATCTATCCTTTGAGCACCTATCCTTTAAATTTCGAGCTTTGCATGTGAGGTGACCACTTGTTGGTTGTTATAATGGAGATGCTTTCTAGAACTTGTTGTCAATAAGATATTTAGAAACTTAAGATGCTTTCTAGAACTTGCTTCTACTTTTAGTTTTATATGTGGATGTTTATGCTTTACTGAAAGGAAAAAATTCTCTACTTGCTTTCCTAAGTGTTCTCCATAAGATATTTAGAAACTTAAGTTGCATCAATAAGTGGTCACCTTCTTTCTCACCTACCTCTATGCAAGGATTCTTCGCCTATATGGGTCCGTTTTCCTCAGCTTCCTCTTATGTATTGAGACCCATCCAACATTACTAGAATGACGATGATGGTTGGTGAGCCTTTATGGATGGATGAACATACCACTACTTAGGTCTTCACTTTTATGGGTCTATTTTCCTCGGCTTCCTCTTATTTATTGAGAACTATCCAACATTGCTAGAATGACGACGATGGTTAGTGAGCCTTTATGGATGGATGAACATATCACTACTTGGGGCCAAAGCTCTTATGCTAGAGTTTGTGTGCAAATCAATTTGGTAGATAAGTTGAAACTTGGATTTTGGATTAAGGGGCTCAATGGCATATATTTTTCAAAAGGTGGATATAAGGGCATCTCCAAAGTTTGCTTTCATTGTAGAAACATTGGCCACAAATTGAAGCTTTGCCTTGACATGGCTAAGCAGCAATCCCCCACATGGTATGTCTTACTCCTAGCCCCACCTCGACAACTCCCGACGACACACTTTGGTGGAGAAGCAGAATAAGCCCACCTGTGGCTCTTCCCAGTAGCCAGCTCCCCGGTTCCCATTAGAAGTAGCCCGTCCCACGTGGTAGAACCTCCAACTCCTCATGTTCAGTGCAGCTCTGATGCAAATGAGTATGCGCCTTGGATTCTTTTCACTACAAGGAGGACGTCAAAACAGCAGCATAGGTACTTTTCCAAGAGAAATGAGCAGAAGCCTTCTAGCCCCAAACAGGTGGTTTCTCTGCTGAGAAATTTAAGGATATGGAGGCCTCTTACAATAGAGTTTTGAACCTCACAAAGCAACAACGCTTGGGCCTATTACCACTGCTCCAAGGAAAAGAAAGAAAGCACCAAACGACATCATTGGTGGGGATATGGTCCCCTTAGGTATGCAATGTTGACTTCTTCTTATATTTTTTGCATTGAATTCCACAAATTAATCAGACCTCTGTCGAAGCACAGGGATACTAACCAGGTCCTTGGGCTGTTTAAACCCTTTCTATCGTATCCCCTCCCTCCGAAGTGGTTCCTTGTCTTGTTTGTTGGTACTTAATGTTATTACTTGAGGGATCTCATAGTGCCAACTAAGGGGGTTTCTGTTTCTTTTTGTTTGGGTTCTTCTTTTTTTGTTGTACCCTTGTATGGATTGATATAGATAAAAGCAAAGCTCTTCCCATTATTGTTTGCTTTTTTACTTGGGAAGACATAAATAGAAGTTTTCATGCTAGCTTGTACTCTCTTGTACTCTTTTATTATCTTTAATTATTGCAACATGCAACTTCAAAAAAAAAAAAAATCCTGAATAATAATCATTAAAAGCATACCCACTAAAATTATATATCATATACTTAGTCTTTATTCTTCTAATATTAATGTATTTATCTTCTAAATATTTCCCTTACTACTTGAACTTTACACTTATATAGGTAAATATTTCACCAATTAGAACTATTTCATCCATAAAAACATAAACTATGGCACATCACTTTTAAAAATCCTTTGCAAGCAACTTCATAATGAAATAAAAAAAATAAAGAGTCATTGTTGATCCTATATAACGATGATTGAAAACCCTCAGGACACTCCACAACTACTTCTAATGATAGTAAACAATCCATTATAAATAGACTTAATAACAACAACAAGATATCTTCGGCACACATACTTCAATCAAAAAGTAAAACAAATCAATTCTCATGAAACTAGATCATATGCCACTTCAAAAATTAAAAATGTTGGAAGATCATTTATTTGATATTTTTAAATCTCCATTAATTATCCTAACACAAAATTTACCTCCATGGTAGTCCTGTCTAGCATGAAATAAAATTAGTTCTCCAAAATTAATGTATTTTTCCCAAGCCTACATTCTACTACTCCCTCCATGGCTTCATTCTTCAACTCATAAGTTCAATTTATTGATGGTTAGCATAATCTTGAAGATCAACTTTATTCCTAAATATTATTCCCAAAATACCTCTACAAATTTGTCATCCATTTATCCTTCCGTTTTTTCTTGAAAATATTTGTCAATCAAATTAGTACAATACTTTCCACAATTTTCAAGTCTCAACAAGCATTTAATTTGAATCTATCATATAATTCAACACATAGTACGTTATGCTCTTTCAATATAATTTTAAAAAAACTCGAGGCGTAAGCATCAAGGCGTTTTTTACTGGAATTGCGCAAAGGCGGGCCTCAAGGCGAGCCTCATATTGAGCAATTTTAAACCATGGTAATTTCTCAAATTAGCTTTCTCATCTTTCATGGATGTTTTCATCTTTAACCAAAGACTATTAAACTGTTAAATATCCCACAAATTATTATTTTTAATTAAACATAATCTTAAGGAGGAAACAGAAATGTTAGTAGGCTGAAATCACTCTCTCTCGCGAGAGGAATAATTTACTTTTTTGGGGTAATAAAGTGACAAGGCACACCTTACAATCAAGAATTCATTTTTTATCCTCAAAACCAAGACCGATTGAATGGGGAGCCAAGGCTTTCAACCAAACGGCCCAGGGGTGAGAGGCTGACTAGAACAAAGCTAAAAACTGCCAAATTTTATATACATTAGGTTAAGCTATATTTCACATGAGTTTAAAGAATGTTACGATACGAAATACCCTCACTCTAACGATCCCTATCACCGGCGAACCGGCATCCGACATCCGCCGGCCTCGTGCCGTGGCCAAAGTCGGGGGAAGAAAAGAAAGAAGAGCTGGGTCATCAATACCTTCTGTTGGCTCCACGAGATCGCCGACGGCAACCGAAGACCAACAAACGGCCCGCACTTACGACCGCCCGGATGCCACGCTCTTGGCTCAGCTCCAGTCTCCCGGGGCCGCTCTCGGTGACATAGATAGTTCAAGTTGACAGTAATCTTCAGGAAAGGTGTTCGAATTTTACCGGATGTGCTAACAAAATATACATAAATATTTTTATCGATCATATATACATTATTTTTTTGTTAAGAATAAAATTCTTATTTAAATCTAATAAAAATAAATCACTTTTAATAATTTCTAATTAAATCTTTTTAAATATATTTTTATTTTTCTTAACATAAATCAAATCTAATACAGTGAGCTGAGTACACGTGGCGATACAATATTGGTTATAAAGAAATAAAAGGAAATTGTATGTGCCAGGTGTGCTAATAGAGAATGATGCTCAAATTATAAGTTTTTTTGGTTCAACATTTGGTAATTTGAACTAGAATTAAAAACACCCCATCATACAATTCATGTCAATTCAGTTGATCATAAAAATCATTTATTTAACATTTAAATATATTAATGATGTCATAATTGAGTGATCTTGGGATCATCTAATATATATATATATATAATTATGTTTCAAGTATTTGATTTGAGCTCATTTATGATTGGATTGGACAACTTTTGGTATTGTTGGTAGGGGTGTCAATTTCGGGTCACGGGTCGGGTTCGGGTCGAACCCGAAACTGACCCGGCACTATTCGGGTCAACCCGAACAAGACCCGTTTTTAAAAACGGGTCATTTTCCTGACCCGAACCCGACCCGCTTCGGGTCCGGGTCAACTCGACTCGACCCGAATGACCCGTTTCCAACAAGAAAATGGCTAATTTTCGGGTCAAAAACGGGTCAAACTCCTCTTTTCGGGTCAAAAACGGGTCAATATCGGGTTGCTGGGTCAAAATCGGGTTTTCGGGTCAAAATCGGGTCACTTTCGGGTCAATTTCGAGTCAAAGGGTTTACCCGAACCTGACCCGATTTTTGAAACGGGTCGAAATGCTGAACCCGAATCCTACCCGTTTCAGGTTCGGGTTGACCCTAACCCGAAATTTTCGGGTCGGGTTCGGGTCGGGTTTTCGGGTCGTGTCAAATATTGACACCCCTACCATCTACATCAAAACATATCATACCATTTGCACCATATTATTTAAGTGACAATAACAATTAGCATTGGTGAGATTACGATTTTGCTAACAACAATCACACATGAATATTTAAAATTTATGAAAAATAAATAAACTTTGTGATGCTTATATTTATTCATGTGAAAGGGATGTTGGTGTAAGGTAGGTTGGATGAAACAGGGACCTACGTTAAGTTTGGTACAACGATTGTCTAATCCAATTTTAAAACAGAATTTAAAATAATAAGATAGAGTCAACCACTTGATATATATGAATACATTTTTAATTTATTTGTTATCAACCTAAACATGAAACTCTCGCATGTCTTAAAGATTTCTCCATCCCTCATGTGAAAGCTCTCTACATTAGCCACCAATCCCCACAAATGGATGTTGTTCTGACATCACCAAGTACCATGTCATCCCATCACATGAGAGCTCACCACATTAGTCAACAACATTATTCACCACTCCACTAAAACAAAAGCTTTTTATATCACCACATTGGTTACTACTCTCCTTACACAAAAACTTTTTTTGATACCATCAAATATCATGTAGCAAGAGTCACTTAACCATACTGAGTAACCCACCCTTGAACCAAACAATGATAGATGGAACCAAACGCCCATGGGAGCCACCATTGTATGAAATACTCAATTATAGTCAAACCTAATGCTACTCTTTGGGAAGAGGTTTATGTCAAAGAGAAACATAGTAGAATGTGAATGCTTAGTATACCAATAATTAAATCCATTTTCAAGCAAAAAACAGTAAAACACAGTGCATGAATCACTTATTCATTTTCAACCATCAAATTTGACACTACCTGTTGGTGAGTGTCCATTGAAGGGGATCAAATATGAGCTTTAATGTGTAACACACCAAAGCCCACACTCTTTTTCAATCAAAAAACTTAAACCTGTTATAGAGGCCAGCCCTATGTGAAACAAATCCTCTATACTCGCCTGAACACTTCAATAATAAAAATCCTCTATACTCTTAATCGTTAATCAAGGCAAGCTCGAGTTTTTAGAACATTAGGTAATCTATCCATATTTAGAAGTTTTACAAAGCATTCATTTAACTATTTAATACACCATTATGTAAAACATTCATTTAACTATTTAGTCAAACATCAACCAATTCATTCTTCCCCAAACATCCACACACAAATGCTCCAAATTAAGTAATTAACACCCATTTTATCACTTGTCAACAAGCTAGTGTTAATCAATATCGAATGCCAGAAGAATAAAGAGAATTTGCATTCAAAACTTGTAGATTAGATGACTGATTATAAAAAATATTTCTAATATAGATTTTTTTTTTTAAAATCAGAACATCCTAAACGGTTATTTTCTTATTTGGTTCAGGATTGTAAGGGCAATTTTGATTGTGAGGGCAATTTTTGAAATTCTGTTTATTGCTCATGTTAAATGTGAATATGTGATGATTCTATATGGTTCCAAAATCTACATACGTAATCTCTGTCAAGATTGTTAAATGATGTAAATATATTAATCTACATACATCATTCTTTCAAACCTTTTGTCAAGTTGATAAATTGCTCAGAAAATTATCTATATATCATTCATAGATCCACTATTTAGCTTTTGTCTGAATAAGATTTTTTTTTTTTTGAATTTCTTATAAATATAAAGCTTATAAAAAAATTTATCAATATTAACTCCCACATATATAACTTATAAACCAAATTATTAGAAATTTGAAACTCTATATAAGATTGAGAGAATAAAAGAAAACTGCAAACAAATGAGAGCTAACATAATGATTCTCAAGCTTCACTCATACAACTTTAACTCACAATTAAAAATCAATTGAATGGGGAAATTCTAAATGATATCCAGTTATAACACAAAATCTAAATTTCATGCAGTGCAGCCGAAGGCCTACTCTTCAATAGAAAATTATCTCAGTTGTGAGAAGTAATTTATCAAGGAGTTCTAGAAAACAATAAATTTCATAAACTAAATAAGTTGTTTTGGGATTTGGCATACCTCTAAAGTAAATTTCACTTGAAGTCAAGAGAGTAGAGATCGTTTGAAGCCGAGGTTGTTGAGATCCATATACAAAATGTGAAACACGAAAGATCTAAAGAAAAAACATGTGATGATAGTTGTAGTAATTATATATGACGGATAAAGAGAACCGACTTGATGGTTATCTTTAGGAGAAGCAAATCGTTTGCTGTAAGGATTTGGGTGATGGAGTTCATCTTTAAAAGAGTGAAATAATATATAAGAAGTTGAGTACCGAAATAATTGAAGAAAGAAACCTGGTAGAAGAAACGTTTTGGAAGTTCAAAACATCGAAATAATTGGTGAATGAAACGTTCGAGTGGCCTAAATGTTAAAGAATATTAGCAGACCGAAAAATTATGAGAGAAACCTACCGGAGAAGACGGGTGAGCGGAGGAAGCTAGGTGGAGGAAATCACGAAACATGTGATATTAGGAGACATGCGATATTAGGTAACCAAAACATTTACAAGAAGAATGAAATTCTTGGGAGGGAAACGTTAACAGTTAAATAAAAGGTAACAGGTTAAACTGAAGTATAAAAAATTATTTAGTTGTGGAAAGAAATTTATGCCTCATTAATTTGCATAGTTATTTTATGAGGTGTATGTATCGAACATTAATTTGTATACGTATTATATTTTTTTTAGATTCATTAATTATTTATAATAAAATGAACGGACAAGCTAATTTTAGAATAAATAAAATGGATGGTTAAAATTTGACTTGGAAGAAAATTCAAATGATTTTTATAATAACAATATAATATAATATAATATAATATAATATAATATAATATAATATTATATTATATATATATATATAATATAATATAATATAATATAATATAATATAATATAATATAATATAATATAATATAATATAATATAATATAATATAATATAATATAATATAATATAATATAATATAATATAATATAATATAATATAATATAATATAATATAATATAATATAATATAATATAATATAATATAATATTATATTATATATATATATATATATATATATATATGATTTTACTTTATTGATATAATTTTCTAATTGTTGTTATTGATGCTGCTGTTTTATCACATTATATAATTCTTTATTGATTGATAATATTGATTCGATGACTATTTCATTAATTTATTATTCATATTAAATTATTATCTTCTCAACTGTACTAGCTTTTGTAGTGCATTATTTTATCATTTACAGATTTTAGTACTATTGCATGTGAGTTTTACCATTTATGTACTGATTCATGATCATATAAATATTACTATTTTGATTTAACTGCTGACATGCAAATTACTTCTTTGTTATGCTTTGAGTTTAGTTATAAGATTTGGTTACTTGCTTGGTTGTTGAGCTCATTATTTATGGCTAAATAATTTTAGGTAGGGCA